ACCCACTTTTGGGTCACGACCCACCAGTTGAGAACCAAGGGTTTAGATGTACTTTAATATATAGTCTAATTTAGGTTTCTATTTCTTTTCTTGTGGGTGAGGGGTGTCTTTTGGTCTTTTTTTCAGTTGTAGGTGGAATCGTCTATTCCCCTCCTTTTTATTGATCATTTGTCTAACCCTTCTCCCAACAGTTTCTATCTAATAGGATCCTCAGGACCCTCTGGGGTAGAACCCAGGAGATGTTTTCTGGCTGTTCCAAGCTTTATGTAAAGCCTTTCATTGTCCAGGCACATCTCTATACGTAGAGAAAGGCAGGGGAAAATATGTTCTTGCCACGTACTGGAAATGATTTAACATAATTAGCTTGGTCTTTTGAAGGACCCTACAAAGCTCCAATGTATGTTCAGAACTCTCCATGCCTACATTACCGTAGCACAGACCTGCTTACAAAAGGTCGGATTGAGTTTGAAATCTGGGATAAGATTCAAATAAAAGGCCAGCAATCCCCCGGTGCTGATTTTACTAGAGAGCAGTAGGAAATGTCTGTTTGCTCTTACATTTGCCAGATTAAAGCACATATTTGGTGTGTGAGCCGTAAAGCTGCTGAATGTTGAAGTCTTCCCCTGCCTTGCTGAGAAAGTTCATATTGATGTGGTGATTTTAAACTATTTGTGGAATGCAGTCGTCCTCTACCTCTGAATTTGAAGAGCTCTGCTTAGCTGCGGTGACTATGTCAATTTATTCAGTGTGCCTTTTATCATTTTAGGCTCCGCAGTGGCATGCTGGCACGCCATGACCACAGAAAATCCAAAAAAGGGGCTTTGTAAGTTGCAGCATAGCAATAATTAATTTAGGGTAATGGGATTAGTACAGTATTACATAATGGATCCACGCAGTTATAGCACTCATTTACAGGCCTTTACACTTTAAATGTAAAATACTTTACCTCAGCATAAGACCGATTAATGTAGCAGCAAAGAGGGTCCTGTTTAGTGGGAGGCCTGTTTCTAAAGCCAGGGTTAGGTTTTCAGTAAAGTGAAACTTCTCTTAAAGGGTCTATCGAACCAAGAGTGATACAAAAAGCCATCAAGTGATCTATTTCTATTTTTTGAGAGGTCTGGTGAGTGCTCCCTGCCCCAAATGTGAAAAGGGGGGTGAAAGTTTAGGGTCAGGGCCCTGTTTTAATGGCTATAGCAGGTATGCAGATCTGGGAACCCAAGCATAGAAAGGTGAATTTCTCCACATAGCACCTTTTCTTTGGTAGGGGATGTAGTTACAGAGACGGGACATAAAATCTACCCCATGGGCATCCCATTATAGCAAGAAATACCCTTCTAAATCCTATTAAAGGAGGGAAAAATAGTAATTCTTTTTTTTAATTTCAGGAATTGATATAGTGCCGACAAGTTACACAGCGCTCTACATAGTGCACATTCACCCCAGTCCCTGCACTCAAGGAGCTTTATGTCTAAGGTCCCTATCTTGCATACATACAAGGCAAATTTAACCCCTTCGTGACTGACGACTTACAGTGTACGTCGCCAGCATCAGGGCTGTTTAAACAGACTCCCGGCGGCTATTGTTTAAACTTGTAAAGCCGACTGTCTGCTGTTTTCCGCCGTTTCACGGACGCACGCAATTTGTAACCTTGGCATGTTGGGTATCATTTTACTCGTTGTAACCTCATCGTTTATATTTAATTAAAAATATGGGTATTTTGTTGTGTTTTGGGGCATTTTAATCAACCTTTTCACTAAATTTTGGGGTTTAATAAGGATTTGCGCTAATATTGCGCAACATAAAAATTTGCAGCTACCACCATTTTATTCTATTGGGTCTTGGCATTCAGAAAATATATAGTGTTTGGGGGTTTTAAGTCATTTTCTTGCCTAAAATTGGTAATATAACATGGGTGCAAAAAATGGGGGGAAAAAAGGCCTCAGTCATGAAGGGGTTAAACATAAATATACTTCTGAAAGTTGTCCCATTTACAAAATTATTCAGAAAAAAGGCCCAGTTATCTGACTTTTCCACAGGTTATATGAAGCA